CCCAAGAACTGTATCGCGAATTGACGACCTCATTTGCATGACTTAATTATTATAGAGGTTCAGATTTGTATTCCACCACTTCTATCTAGCTTAGTACGCATCTGATTGGTTAATCGAATATATCAAATGCATCTGATTGGTTGATGGTCCCTTAATGGTAGCGGTAGTGAAAGTCAAATCTGAAGAAACGATTACTTTGATACTGACAGAAAATGAATAATTTTGATACAATGATAATTAATAAGTTATGGCTCTTAAATACTGCTCACCTAAAACAGACAAATTTGTAACAAACCCGCAGCCGATCGACTTGTCGCAATGCTGTTCCAACAACAACTTGTTAACAGGATGTGTTCGCACTGCTTGTTCCGGCTTGTTCAGCTTAAGCTGAGCTAAACTGACTTAATTGTTAACTGACAAAAACTTGTTATCGTCCAAGGGCCGGTTCTTCAAAGCTGAATCAGCTGTAACCTGGGTTAAAATTTAACATGCCGAGTGCTTTGGTCTGTGTATTTCTGCATTTCTATTTATTTCCAAACTTTGGAAAATAACCTGCTGTTGATCTATAGAGAAGATTTCCAAAAAAAATACTTCCATGTTTAAAAAATTGCTGTTGGGTATAGATTGTTTTGAAGAATTTGATAACCCAGGATTAAGCTAATCGACATTTGAACAACTGGCCCCAACAATTCAACAGCATCTTGATGCGTGCATGTCTAACATTTACTGTACCTGATAGACATCGTCAGTTTCAATTCTATATCTTTCTCTTTGAATGAAGCCATCCAATTTAGGGGCACTTCTACCCAGCTTTAAACGAAATTGTTCATTTTCATTTTCATCCTTATAGGCGAAGCAAACAAAATGCTTATCGCCTCCAAATTCATACCTCATCATTTTCTCTTTATGGAAAGTCTTGAAGAGAAAATTTAAAGTCATGAAATTCTTACAAATATTAGTCCTTATCCATCGACAGAAAATAAAAAAAAACTTACTATGCAATGTCTAATACGCGATTCAGCTGCGTCACTCTTTTTCGGTGGACCAATAATTTTCACCCGAACTGTGTCTCCATCTTGAGCTTTAAAAGGGAAAAAACGAGTCAATATATTTAGTATGCATGGCTCTCTAAAAAGGAAAGGTAAATGTTTGCAAGGGTCGCCCAAAAATACTCCTACCGTACTATCCTTTGTAATATTATTACATGTACATTAGCTTCAATAGATCTAGAGGTTTGAGGTTTTTATTTCGGATAGGATATTTAACAAATCATGACAATACATTAATATATATTTGACTACTCAAAATAACCAACCGCTTGCCTTCTATATATAATCCCTTCTATGGGATCCTCCAAACTCTGAACGAACTCACTGCGAAAATTAAGTTAAAAGCTAGCTTTTCAATATGATTAGAAGGGCGCTAAAGAGAGTGCCTTATCACCGTCCACAAAACCGACGATTCGTGGCTACTAAATACCATCAAGATGTGGTTTCATACTTAAAAAAGTGACCTGTACAAATGCTCAGGGGTGTAACGAGCATGGTAGAAATACTCGCAATAAAGAATTAAACTTTATTGAAACAACCAAAAATTCAGTTCGAATTTAAAATTAGATCATTTTACTATGGTCCTTATTTTTATCAGGTTGTTTTTGAAAATCATTTTGTAAGTGAAAACGTTTCCTGCAGTATGGCCATCGAAAGGTTGCGGGTGGTCCGTGGCAAAACATTTCCAGGGGAACCCTATATGAATCCATAACTCTAAAACAGGAGAAGCGGTGTTTTACAATATATATAACACTTTATATATTTTTTATAACAATAATGTAGCTATAGGATTTATATTCTCAGTTACGCAATCTTTTGTATCAAATTGATCATTTGTTAATGTTTGAATGCGTGCGGAAAACCAAATCCAAAGCCCTACCAAAGCCTTGTCTTTTAGTCTTCCCATACATTCCCCCAAAAGTTTTGGTGGAATGAGATTAAATCAAAGATCATTAGTTTAGCTTGATTGCTTGCTGCTACGCTGCAGCATTTAAAAAAGTATCGCGGTTTGTCGTTTCTCAGTTATGCTTGTTTGGCAAACAAAGAGGTATAACTAAAGACTTCTTTTTCACTACAGTATAGAATATCGAAACGTTGCGTCGTCAACGCAATTCAACCGGGCATTGCATCTATTTACTTGAACCAGAATAGCGAGCAAAAACACGTCTTACAATTTGCCAAAAAATATTGAAAGCTGAGGTCTTATGCCAACAGAAAGAAAGCTTCGGAAACTTTCCAGCAAACAAACAATAGCATTTCAGATCGAGTAACATGGAAACAAAACGTTTATTTTCGTATTGTAACCTACCTTCGACATCTTGGCGAGAGGGTACTATGATTTTGGCTCCTGTTTTCGTTTCAATTTTTTCTAAATTTTTACGTCCTTTGCCCACAACAATATGTATATATTCTTTTGGTACTTCGATATTTTTTACATCACCAATCGCCTTCGTTGCAAAAAGAAGCAAACTATTTAGCATTTTTTATAATATTATACTTCAGATTCAAATTGTCCAATGAAAAAACATCATTTTGTACGACGTGATAATGTGATTTTTTACGGTATTTCACTCAAATTCATGATTTCGCAATGCAACGTGAGATACTATAATATCGCACGGTTGATCCACCGTGGGATATTATAGTATCTCACGCGTGACGCGTGGACACCACGCTCTGAAACAATATGGCGTTCGCGAGCTGTTGTTCGTAATTTCGTACAGAAGATTTATTGATTTAAGTTAACCAAAGATTTTCAAGACGTATGTTACCTTCAACGATCCAAAGGATACATGCTCAAATATTTTAAAGAAAAAACGTCAAAAACTCATGTATGCATAAGAAATTAAAAATAATTGTATTCGCTTCAAGTTTTAAAGTTTATTCTGAACTTGGTGGGTTCTTTAACCTTCGGTATAACATATCATTTATAGACCCTCCGCTCGGGGGATTCGTCGAAATATTACCCTCAGTGATGATATTTTCCTTGGGGCAAAGCCCCTCGGAAAATATCATCACTTCGGGTAATATTCCGCAGAATCCCTCGTGCGGAGGGTCTATAAATGATAATAATTCGCTGAAAGAGGAAATTTACAAAAACTATATGCAGCCAAATAAGAATATAAATATAGATAAGTATAAAATACATAAAAAACTATTTTCAGCCAGCCAAAAACACACAAATACAATCATGGTTAGCATGGTCATCAACTCCATATTTACATATCACATTGATATATGGCTTCAACTGTATAACAGTAAATTATATTACGCGATGTTGTTAATCGCAAAATGTAAGAATAAGGTGCAGGTTCGCAAGTTTTTGCTGTCGAACTATACTTAATGTAATATTAGCTTTGTTTCATCCATGCTAAGGTTACATAAGTCATAACTATTCATGATCATTATATAACTCTATATAAAAAAAATTATCAAAATAATTAAAAGAGTCGCGTGTTTAATTCATGGTGTGAGTGTTATCGGAAATTGGCGAGCGGAATTACTTTCATTTATACCATGCAAGTACTGTAATTCGTTCGCATCGATAAAATAATCGCTCCTCTTTTCCGCACCTCCAAACCAGGGTTATATATTAATAGCATGTATGCGCGACGACGATGGATTTTGAGGAGATAGAAATTAAGTACACATATTTCATCAGTAAATGGCAATTCTGTGTTTTTCATGCATGCATGATTATAGTATTACCTTTGAATGTGTTTGAGATCCAGAGGCCATTGATGAAACAGATCTAACTTCATTATCTTCCCACTTTTTCTAAAAAAAAAACCGGATCCAAATAATATAGAAGACAACGACAGCGCCCACATTGTCTCCCGATCTTCCATTCTTTTATAAATCGGCGTGGCAACATCAAAATAGTACCATTTTGCTTAAATCAACATGGTAAAATTTTCTGGTTGCTTTATTAATTTCACCTGGTTTCACATTTTTGAGTCAAAATACTCAGGGATGTTTTTGCAGTGCCGCCCGCGTTTTCACAAAAAATCTGCCAATGATTGCAGGAAATAAACAGTATTTGATCGCCATTATCTAAAAATGCATTTAGCAGTTATTCTCAGAGTCAACAATTCTCAACATGAAGTGCACAGAAAGTCATTGAAAAATTGTATTTACGTTGCCATGCAAGATTTACTGCCACGTTGATTTCTCTTACAAAAGTAATTATTGCACTCAATTTTTTTATATTTTATTAACTAAGAAACTTTGTCTAAATCAACCGCGGTCAGACACTACTAAATGGATATACAACCAGGATTGTCATGTATAAAATCCCAAACCTTATTTAAATCTGTTCAGAAATATAGAATTAACCAGGCAAATTATAGATTAACCCAGGTAATTAATGCAGGTTTACTTATAGAAAATTCTAAACATATCGTTTTTAACTAAATTATTCGCCACTTTACCAGGTGACAAACAAGGATAAATGGTGCGGAAATTTTACGACACCTATTGAAAACAAAGCAATTTACTATGCAGAAGAATTTTTTTCCTATGGGGGGATTGTTAACTTTCTGCTATAGTAGATGCATGCTCAAGAAGAACGACGGCTACAACGCTTTAGTCCCAGGCTAAAGATAAACAACAACTAATGAAACAAATCATATAGCTAGGCTTATAATCAAATTGATCTGAACGAAGAAACCAAGCATGCGCGTCATTGACTCTCAACAATTATTTGTATAGTTTCATAGCTCGTCATTTTCCATGACTCAGTTTTTTATGCATTTCCATGATACATGTGTAGTATTTCAACTCTGCATGCATGCTACGTATAATTTACTACATGAATATATTTACCAGATTTGCTCTTAGCATCTCTCTTGCGTGCTCACAATTAGATCTCAAACCTTTAACGTCAAAAATCACATGTTTTTCTCTTCCACTGAATTTCGGCCAGGTAATTTTCACGCTACATTCTTTCTCTATCCCTCGGAAATTATCACTGCAATGTTTTCCTATCAGCAAACGAACAAATTGCTGAGGGACTAATTCTTTTATGGTAGCAGTTGCGTTATCCTGTAACATGTATTATAACATATATTAGAGCTGTTTCTGATCTTACTCTGAGTGTGTCCTCACCGGATAGGCTGAAAAGTATATTATACTGTATGGGATTTTCAATCGCTCGCTTATAGGCTACCTGGGATTTTCAATTGCCTTATCCCTGGGATTTTCAATCGCCTTATACCTGGGATTTTCAATCATCATCACAGAGAACGTTTCTTGACAGTCATAAACCCTTCAAGCGCTATAATCGTTTTGGTTTTTGGCGAACACAGCGGAATATCTTTACACCGAAAGACATCTCTAAGCCTCTTGAAGACGAGGTATTATACATGAAGAAACACTGATATATAATGGACAACTTGCATGTTAGACTAAATTTTAATCTAAGTAAAGAGAACGGAATAAAACACAACAGTTAAAAAGAAAATAATGAAATTAGGAAAATTGCAAAATTTGGTTGCGAAATGTTGGAAAATGCAGAAAATATAGCCTTGCGAAGTTTGCATATTTTCAGTATATTTGTATTACGTGCGGTAATTGTTACCATTTTCGGCTCAAAAATGGTAACAATTTCCGCACGTACTACAAATATACCGAAAATATGCAAACTTCGCAAGGCCATAGTTTTTACATTTTACAACATTTCGCAACCAAATTTGGCAGTTTTACTGATTTTAAAAAGTTCTTTACGGGAATTTACTTTTTTTTGCCTAAATCAAAAATTAGTCTAACATGCAAGTTGTCTATTGTCCAACAGCTACACTTTGGTATTAAGTTAAACATCTCACTGAAAAGTGCCTTCTTCTTTGATCCCTTAATATCTTATTTACTATTATTTATATTTTTAAAAAATCATGGTTTCCGATTGGCTAATAGCCAACTGTGATATCGTCAAATCAACTCAATATAGCTAACCAAATATGACCAAAATAATATTTCGACAATTTGAACCCACAGATGCGATTTGTCTCTTTAATCTTTTAAATAAATATTAACAAAATAATTATTGAATTCAGTTTTTTCCAATATATGAACAATGATTAAGCCCTCAGTTTGAGTTATCAACCTCAGCCTTCAGCTTCGATTTATACATTATAATTCTTCATATCATGCTCAACCACATTCAATAATAAATTGTTAAATATTTCTAATCAAATTCTCGCCTATTTACAAAATGCGAGTCCATAATCATGTTCGAAATGCTTGTCAGCGTTCGTTAATTATAATAGCATGCAATAGCAATAATAATAAGAAGGTATTTATAGATAGATTATCATTAAGATTTTACGATCATAAAGTAATTACGACCATAAAGCTTTTTGACGTTCTGAGAGATACTGAGCGAATTCCCAATGGGGAAATTTGTAAACGACCTATGGTAAACTTTTAAATCAGCACTTGTCTCTGTCGCTAATCGGCATGCACGAATAAAACAAAAACGTGCGAGGAGATTTGACAATTGTCCATGGCTTAATAAAGATATTAAACATGACATTCGTCAGCGCAACTATATGTTAAGGTGACTCAATACATTTTTTTTAAATGGAAGATTTGTGATTTAGGTGCGTATTTTTGGACACGTATTAGTTATTCAAAAACAAAAAGCATCTTACTTATGTAAACCA